GGACCCTCAGATCTGCTGGGAATGCCCTCCTCTCAGTCCCACCTCTGTCTCAAGGGCAGTTGGATGAGAGAGAGGGCCTTCTTGGTGGTGGGCCCCCGGCTTTGGAATGCCCTCCCAAGAGAGATCAGGTTAGCCCTCACTCTCCAAGCTTTCTGGACACAACTGAAAATATGGCTTTTTAAACAAGCTTTTGGACCACAACTAGTAACTTAATTACTAAATTCGAGGACCTATTGATTGTTTCACATTAATACTTTATGTAACTGATATTGTACACAGCTGGATATTGTTATATCCGCAGCTTGCTGCATTTTATTATTTTCAAATTAGTAGTGATTTTATATGATTGACATATATATATATATATATATATAGAGAGAGAGAGAGAGAGAGAGAGAGAGAGTCATGTAAACTTATCTGTTATTGATTGATATGTTTATGCACTTTGCTGTATTTTGTGCGTTCTTGCTCTATTGAGTGGTTTCTGTGAGTCACCCTGAGTCCCTTTGGGGAGATGGTGGAGGGATATAAATAAATCTTTATTATTATTATTATTTGATACATAACAAGATTAGAACACAGCAAACAAGATCACTATGCTGGCTTTTGTATTTGATTACACGTCGGACACTTCCCAAGCGTCTAGGACTGTGTGATGTATCGGTGAATAATATGTGCAGATCAGAGTATGGTAGCTTTTTGCAGATGACAGATGTAATTTGGTCAGTGCCAATTGTTTTTAAGTACAGCCCAAGGTCTTTAGGCACTTCATCCAATGTGCCGATCACCACTGGAACCACCTTGACTGGATCATACTTTATTTATATCCTGCCACCATCTCCCCGAAGGGACTCAGAGCAGCTCACAGAAAGCACTCAATAATGCAACAACGCACAAAATGTAGCAAGATATATATTGTCTAAGCTTTTCCAGTTGCTTTTTGTCAATCTTGCTGTCACCTGGAATTGCAACATCATGATCCATACTTGTCTTTTTCCACAATCGTGAGGTTAGGAGTATTGTGCTCCAAAATTCTGTCAGTCTGAATTTGGAAATCTCAGAATAGTTTGACGTGTTCATTTTCTGTAACTTTTTCAGGCTTGTGATCCCACTAGTTCTTTGTAGTAGGCAGATGGTATTTGTGGCACAAGTTCCATTATTATTATTATTATTATTATTATTATTATTATTATTATTATTATTAGATACATACCAAGGTAAGTACACAGCAAACAAGATCACTATGCTGGCTTTTGTATTTGATCACACGTCAGGCACTTCCCAAGTGTCTAGAACTGTGTGATGTATCAGGGAATAATGCATACAGATCTGAGTAGGGTGGCCTTTTGCAGCTGACAGATGGTAATTTTGTCAGTGTTGATTGTTTTTAAGTGCAGGCCAAGGTCTTTAGGTACTGCACCCAGTGTGCCGATCAGTACTGGGATCCCCTTCACTGTCTTGTGCCAGAGTCTTTGCAGTTCTATCTTTAAATCCTCATATCATGTAAGCTTTTTCCAGTTGCTTCTCATCAATCCTGTTGTCACCTGGGATTATTATTATTATTATTATTATTTTAAAGAACCATTAAAAGGATTGCGAGAGCACAATTTTATGAATCTGGCTAAATCTGAAAGGTAAACCACAATGGAAAAATGAAGCTGTCAAAAAGTCTGAAATAAGTAAACCACGTTCCATGTTTCCCCTTTTCAGTTTTGCTCTCATCCTGGAAGCAGACTCCAACGTACCCCATCTGCTGTTCAAACATGAGACATGTTTTGCGAATCTCAGGCAGCAAAGGAAGGCTGCATTTGTAACCTGCTGAACAGAATGCAATGTGTATAAGTGAGACAGATGCTGTTCATTAAGAGGGGATGAAGGGACCTGAAAATAACTGGATGTTTATTTTTAACTACTCCTCAAAGACACTATTAACCTTGGGAAACATGAGTGTTTTGTGTTTGGGTGATGAGTGGCACTTGCCCAATTCATTAGCTAAGAGACTCCACCATTGCTTTTTGCAGCATTTATGTTTGCAATGTAAGTATGTAGGTCAGATGAAAACGGATGTAGGCCAGTCACAAAACAGGCATGCAGAATGTATTCAGAAAGAGGAAACAGTATGGAATATTTTAAAATCCGCAAGATTGGACGTGTCTTCCTTCCTCTCTGTCTAAACCCTTCCACACGGTCATAAAACCCAGAATATCAAGGCAGAAAATCCCACAATATCTGCTTTGAACTGGGTTATCTTGGTCCACACTGACATATATTCCAGTTCAAAGCAGATGATGTGGGATTTTCTGCCTTGATGATCTGGATTATATGACTGTGTGGAAGGACCCCGAAACTGTTGAAACAAAACATCCCAGGAAGGAAACAGAGCGTCACAAAATCACAACTCCATTTTCAAAAGCATATTTACATAAGGATGAAAAGAAACTTCTGCAATGTGGACTTCCAAAACCTAACCCAGCTTCATTCTTTTGCATGTATCATGGGAAAGCATGTGTTATCTCTGAGGAAAAAAACATAATACTGCAGTGCCCTTCACACTTGGAAACGGGAGAGCGACAAAAACTTCATGAATCTTAAAGTGATATGAAAATAGCTCACATTCAAGAGAGGATTGTGCTTCATTTGCATAATAAGGATCACCAAGATTGCATATTATACATTCAAATAAGTACAAAGGGGCTGGTAGGTATTTTATACCAGATTTGAAGATTGCAAAGGAACCTCAGGACTTGTCATATCCAATTTTTTCACCCGGCTGTTTAGTTTTCGCACTGCACAGATATTTACACTAACTATTTGCTGGCATTGTGTTATAACAGAGGTATGGGCAAACTTTGGCCCTGGAGGTGTTTTGGACTTCAACGCTTAAGCGGCTGAGGGGGAAAAGGAAAGGGCCTGAGGTTGTTAGGAATGGTGGGAGTTGAAGTCCAAAACACCTCCAGGGCCAAAGTTTGCCCACACCTCTGTTATATCATCACAGCATTTAAGAAATCAGACCTATTCCTCATCTTTGATCGCTTGCTAAGACCAGGAATCAAAAAGATTACCACTGGCACCTTAAGTGGTGGGTAAGAAAGCCATTTTCAAAATGATACAGAGGATATTTTTCATTTCCTGGCGTGCTGGCAGCTTCAGAGACCAGCTTTCCACCACATGGAGCAGCTTGACAGCTTGGCTCTGCTTCCCGGCTCCCTTTCCTCTGGCCCGTATTCCTGATCCATTCCCACGTGCCAGTCCGATCCCCCTGCCCAGCATCCTTGGGAAAAGAGAGGCATCTTCCTCACAAGATGTCAGGAGAGAATGCTTCTGGAACATCGTCAGAATACAGCCTGGAAAACTCACAACAACCCTCTTCCATTTCTCCCATCCGTCCCTCATACAGATCATGTTTTATGGACTACTTCCTCACCACAGAGGTGGAAGGAAGGCTCTTATAATATCTATAATGCCAAAGAGAGAGGGGACTGTGTTTCCACTTCAGCCTCAACTGATCTCAATTTACAAAGAGGAAGGGTGGGTTGCTGTGAGTTTTCCTGGTTGTATGGGCATGTTCTGGAAGCATTGTCTCCTGACGTTTCATCCACATCTATGGCAGGCATTCTCAGAGGTTGTGAGGTCTGTTGAAAATTAGGAAAATATGGTTTATATATCTCTGGAATGTCCGGGGTGGGAGAAAGAACTCTTGTCTGCTTGAAATAAGTGTGAATGTGCAATTGGCCACCTTGGTTAGCATTTCATGGCCTTGCAGTTTCAAGGTCTGGCTGCTTACTGCCTGGGGGAATCCTTTGTTGGGAGGTAATTAGCTGGCCCTGACTGTTTCTTGTCTGGACTAATCAAGGTGGCTAATTGTATGAATGTTGCAATTAGCCACCTTGATTAGCATTGAATGGCCTTGCAGCTACAAGGACTGGTTTCTTACTGCCTGGGGGAATCCTTTGTTGGGAGGTGATTAGCTGTTCCTGATTGCTTCTTCTTTGGACTAATCAAGGCTGCCAATTCTGTGAATATTGCTATTGGCTACCTTGATTAGCATTTAATGGCTTTGCAGTTCAAAGGTCTGGCTGCTTCCTGCCTAGGGGAATCCTTTGTTGGGAGGTGATTAACTGGTCCTGACTGTTCCTTGTCTGAACTAATCAAAGTGGCCAATTGTATGAATGTTGCAATTGGCCACCTTAATTAGCCTTTAATGGCCTTGTGGCTTCAAGGGCTGGTTTCTTACTGCCTGGGGGGATCATTTGTTCGGAGGTGCTTGCCTGGAGTAATCAAGGTGGCCAACTGCAACCTCCACACCTGCCTCCAACAGACAAGAGTTCTTTCTCCCACCCTGGACAGTCCAGAGAGATATAAATCCCACTTGCCTCGTTTCCAACAGACCTCACAACCTCTGAGGATGCCTGCCATAGATGCAGACGAAACGTCAGGAGAGAATGCTTCTGGAACGTGACCATACAGCCGGGGAAACTCACAACAACCCAGTGATTCCGGCTATGAAAGCTTTCGACAATACAGGAAAGGGTGGCTCATAAGAAACTAGGAAGATGGCCGCATTGGCCGATGCTTTCCTCGCGTTTCCTCCCCATCCCTGGAACCTTATTTTCCTTCTAATTATCCTAATGCTCTGTACCTCAAAGGCTGAAGCCTCCCTCCTTCCCTCATTCCCGCGCCTGTCCCAGAAAGGCACGCAGCCCTTACTTACCTTCCTTTGGCTTCGCCTCCAAGCGCCTCCAGAGCCGAAGCCTGAAGCGCCTCCGCTCCGCCAGGCGCTCCAGCGAAGAATGAAAGGAAGGAAGGGAAGGAGGGAGGGAGGCAAGACCCTTCAAGAGCAGCCCAGCCCTGGGGAGGGGTCTGCCGAGAAGGAGGCGAGGAGGACAGCCAGGGGCTCCGTGGCCGAGGAAGCCTCCCGGGAGCAGGGCGCCCAAACGCCGCCCTTTGCTGAGTCCCGCTCGACGGAGAAAGACGCCTTGGAAGAGGGAAGAAGCTCTTACCTGGGAGGCACTTGGAGGGTGGGAGGCTCAGCCATGCAAAGGGTCTTCTGAGGCGGGAAAGAAGGGGCACGAGGGTGCTCTCCTTCCTCCATTTCGTGTTGGCTCCCCGACGGCGGGCGCTCACTGGCTTCTCCTCTTGCCCGGCTGTAGCGCGCCTCTCCTCTCTCCCTCTCTCTCAATCTCTCTCTCTCTTTCCCGGGCTGCCCTTCTTGGCTTCTTCCTCCTTTTCAAACCCGCCCGCCCCCAAAGAGGAGGAGGAGGAGGAGGAAGAGGAGGAGGAGGAACCAACTAGTGCAGGCGTCCAACCTTATGGGAGTAAGAGAGAGAGAGAGAAAAAGGGAGGCTCCTCTTGTTGGGAAGTGTTTTGACCTCCTGCCCCCATCAATGGCCCCAGAAAAGCCAAGCGCAGATGATGCCTCTCTCCAGCCCTCACAGGGCTGCCATGGCTTCACTAGTCTTGGTGCCACTCAGTGTGGGAACGCATCATGCCACGGCAATGGTCTGCCTCCCACACCAGGCTGTGACACAACACTGGAGCTGAAAGTATTGTGGAAGGCTTTCATGGCTGGAATCACTAGGTTCTTGTGGGGGTTTTTTCGGGCTATAGGGCCATGTTCTAGAGGCATTTCTCCTGACGTTTCGCCTGCATCTATGGCAAGCATCCTTAGAGGTATTGAGGTCTGTTGGAAGTCGGAAAATGGGTTTATATATCTGTGGAATGACCAGGGTGGGACAAAGGACTTTTGTCTGCTGCATCTAGGTGTGAATGTTTCAACTGACCACCTTGATTAGCATTTAATGGCTTGGAAGTGCCTGGTCCCACCCCAGCCATTCCACAGATATATAAACCCATTTTTCCTACTTCCACAGACCTCACTACCTCTGAGGATGCTTGCCATAGATGCAGGCGAAACGTCAGGAGAAATGCCTCTAGAACATGGCTATAGCCCGAAAAAACCCACAAGAACCTATGGGACTTGCAGTTTCACATCTTTTACCTTATCTCAGGTGTTTCACCAAGGAAAGAAGAGAAAAAAAAAGGAAAAAAGAAAAGAAAGAAGAAAGGAAAGAAGAAAGGAAAGAAGGAAGGAAAACCTACTGGAGCTGAAATATTGGACAGCACAAGCTCTAAGGATGTCTGCCATAGATGCCTACCAAGCTCACAGCAACCCAAACTGGACAGCATTGGGGACTGTACAAACAAAACCCAGCATCAGAGAAAACAACAGTGCATGCTCGTCATGGCACTTACGGACAAAACTACACAATTTGAAATGCCCACATATTTGGGTAACAATGACAACTCTGTGTTATTTATTTTATTTTATTTATTTATCGTGTCAGGAGCAAACCAAACAGCTGTATTGCAGTTTTTAACAAACATACATACCTACATACATACAAAACACAAAGTTTGCAAGCTTTGTAGTTGATTAAATGTCCTTTGACCAGTATCTGGCCACTTGGAGTGCCTCTGGTGTTGCTGCAAGAAGGTCCTCCATTGTGCATGTAGCAGGGCTCAGGTTGCATTGCAGCAGGTGGTCTATGGTTTGCTCTTCTCCACACTCGCATGTCGTGGATTCCACTTTGTAGCCCCATTTCAGCTTTGTGTTGTTGAAGGTTTTCATAGCTGGAACCACTGGATTGCTGTGGGTTTTCCAGGCTGTATGGCCATGTTCCAGAAGTACTCTCTCCTCACATGTCATCTCACAACCTCTGAGGATGCCTGCTATAGATGCAGGTGAAACATCAACAGAGAATGTTTCTGGAACATGGCCATACAGCCCGGATAACATACAACAACCCAGTGATTCCGGCCATGAAAGCCTTCAACAATACAACAACATTGGTGTTTGGAGCTGTGGCCTTGGACAGCTGGTGGTCTTTGAATTCGTGAACTTCGTACTATCTCTTAGACTTTGGCAATTGGATTGATTTTATTATCTGTGGAAGTTGGCATTTGGATCTTGGAATGGACTATCAGTTCACCTTGTGTGATGCCCTCCAATTAATGTCTCTTCAGCTGAATTCTTCAGTTTGAACTTGGACTGCTTGCTGTTTTGATCAAGCAGCTTTTTGAAAGCTGGATCTTGGCTTCACATCACCTGGGCATCCAGAAAGCCAGAACAGGTGCCACATTAGAGAGAGTAGAGGGAGTAGGTACTTCTGTTAGATTTTCCTAGGTTGAGTAAAGCTATTGTTTCACCACTTTACTCAGAGAAGGGAATGGGTCTCTTTTTGAAATGAGGTAATATACAGAGCCCCCGGTGGTGCAGTGAGTTAAACTACTGAACTTGCTGACTGGAAGGTCAGTGGTTTGAATTTGGGGAGCATGGTGAGCTCCTGCTGTTAGCTCCACCTTCTGCCAACCTAGCAGTTCAAAACATGCAAATGGTAGTAGACCAATAGGTACTGTTCCAGCAGGAAGGTAACGGCACTCCATGCAGTCATGCTGGCCTCATGACCTTGGTGGCATCTATGGACAACGGTGGTTCTTCAGCTTAGAAATGGAGATGAGCACCACCTCCCCAGAGTTGAACACGACTAGACCTAATGTCAAGGGCAAACCTTTACCTAAGGTTCAGAACTCACAGTGACCTGTGGATAAGTCACTCTAGGTGCTAAAATTTCTAGATTTCTACAGGAGTATATAGGGTACTTATTTCCATATAAACATAGAAATAGGCTATAAGATGTGTTTTTAGTAATAGAATATTGGATTGAATGGGGAGTTGGCTTAATAAATAGTGAAAAACCACAGAATTAGAAAGTCAAATAGCTTCATTTTGCACTGGCAGAACTTAAGAAAGTCTGGTTCTCCATTCCTTAGATTTGACAGCTTGTTTAATGTCAGAATAGAACATGGTATGTACCTTTGGGTATTTCCTTCAGTTCTAGCCCTTTCTTATATACCGTATGCAGTGGTTGTAACCCTTAAAAGGTGATAGGGTTTTCTTCTGTTATCTGAAGTGGGAGAAAAGCAAGGTGGCAGAAATAGGTGCACAACTGCAAGGTGCACAAAATAGGATGTATCAAATGAATGTTTCATTTAGAAGAGTTTTTTCCAATGCCCTCGAGAGAACTGCCAAAATTGTTAGACATGTTTACGTCAAAAAGCCATGCTGTAGCTGGATTCCCATTCTTGGAACGTAATTATCAGTTTCCCAACAGCAGTGGATATTTCTGAAAGCCTGAGAACCAAGAGCGTGACAAAACTATTAAAAATCACTTTTAGACTCAAATCTAGGGTCCAATGATAAATGGCTCAGCATTGCTAAAATGAGGAATGTACACACATAATACCAATGTAGAATGATAATACTAAGACTAGGTCTTCCAGAATTTTAACAAAAGAGAATAGTGGTTCTACGTACATGGGTAAATTGGTACTCAGTATTTCAAAAAGCTGCTATAGTATATCACATAGATGTTTCCTGCAAAAAACTATTAGCTGGATCTGTATCCTGTCTATTTGGTAAGCTAATAGTTATTTACAGGAAACATCTATGTGAATGTAGTAATTGGCCATCTTGATTAGCATTTAATGGCCTTACAGCTTCAAAGCCTGGCTGCTTCCTGCCTGAGGGAATCTTTGTTGGGAGGTGTTAGCTGGCCCTGATTGTTTCCTGTCTGGAATTCCGTGTTTTTTAGTGTTGTTCTTTTACTGTCCAGATTTTAGAGGATTTTTTATACTGATAGATTTTGTTCATTTTCATGGTTTCCTCCTTTCTGTTGAAATTGTCCACATGCTTGTGTGTAGTCTGTGTAGTCTGACTTGGTGTTAGAGTGGTCCAGCATGTCTGTGTTCTCAAATAATATGCTGTGTCCAGGTTGGTTCATCAGGTGCTCTGCTATGGCTGACTTCTCTGGTTGAATTAGTCTGCAGTGCCTTTCATGTTCCTTGATTCATTTTTGGGCATTGCTGTGTTTGGTGGTCCCTACGTAGACTTGTCCACAACTGCATGGTATACATTAGATGCCTGGAGAGGTGAGAGGATTTATTTATTATTTATTTATTTACAGTATTTATATTCTGCCCTTCTCACCCCGCAGGGGACGGGGTGGATTACAATGCACATATACATGGCAAACATTCAATGCCTATAGACATACAACATATATAGACAGACACAGAAGCAATTTAACATTCCAGCTTCCGGCTTCATGAGTGTATGCTCGATTCTGGCCACAGGGGGAGCTGCTGCTTCACCGTCCATTTGTGACACCGAGTCCTTTGATGGAATATTTTCTCATTCTTCTGCAATTGGTCAGTAGTGATTTAATGCAGTTGGCTATCAGCTAGCTGTGCTACAGCCTGGTCGGCATCCCTCTTGCCCTCTGCTGAATGTAATATTTTTTGGATTTCCTTAGTGGGTCTGTAGGTATGTAGTTTGTAAGTTGTGTTACTTCATTAGCTTCCCTATGTGGTCAGTAGTTCTCTTGATGTCTGGCAAACATGCCTGTGATAGAGGTGAGATAAAGCCTCCAAAAATCCTGAAGTTTCAGTTGGCTCATACAGGGAAAGATGATATTTCAGACTGAAGTTTTTAAGGTTTTTTAAAAGTCATAACTAGTACTTTGAATTCTGCTCAGAGTCACTTTAACTTGATACCAAAACAAGTCAATGTTGGTGCCAGTTGACTTCAAATGGGAGGACAATCTACAACAAGGATGCAACCATTGATTCACCATTACTGATCCACAGACTCTTAATCTGGGTTGGGATTCACATTCTTAATCTGTGTTGGGTTTGTATTGGTTTTATTGGTTTTGTATGGCTTTATATTTATGCTGAATTATTTAATTGCATTTTGTGCTATTGGGGGCATTGAATTGTGCTGACTGTAAACCATCTTGAGTCGCCTTTGGGCTGAGAAGGGTGGTATATAAATACGGCAAATTAATTAATTAATTAATTAATTAATAGATAAATAAATAAATAAATAGTATATTGGCCTTCATCCATCCCATCATAATATCCAGATATCAATCTAGCAACTGTACACTCTCATGTACAGTTGTCACTGGAATACTGATGGCATCCAGCTCTTAAGTCATGGGTAGGCTCACCCAACAGCTTCAAATAGCTTCTCTTTTTAGGTTTAAAAATAAAAGGCCCGTTGTATTTCCACTTTATCACATTGAACAAAATCAAAATACTTGACAGCCTAAAGCGCTTTATGACACACTATTTTAAACAACGTCAGATACTTCAGCACTCTTTTTATGTTCACTTCATTGTACTAACAGGC